CAAGTCTCCTTTTCAGTCCAGCCACACACCTCCAGTTGTATCCCTGCTGCACCACATACAGCCCAAAGTCAGCCCTCACAAGGGTGGACTTCAGCTCTTCATCAGTCTCATCTCTTTTTTGCTCCTGCTTGCACCATTGCCCATGTCTGCAGCCCTGAGATCTACTTCATGCCACTCCTCACATGCCAGTGTCTTGCTACTGCCCATCTCCATCTTCTCCCCACAACAGACTCTCTCCATCTTCACCTGATGACAACAGGATGAGCCACAGAGTCCTGGAGTGCCAAGCTCTCCTCCTCCCATTGCCTTTCCTGGTCTCTGGAGCACCTCTCAGCTCTCATTTATCATCTGACAGCTTTTAGACTGGCAGCACAAAACCAGATAGAAACAGGGTGCTTAAGCACCTCAGAATTTCCTAGAAGACAGGGAGAAATGCAGGCAGCTTTCGTCCTCGTCCATATCTGCGGGGTGCTGCTGCATGTTAGCAGCCCCAGGTGAGGGCTGATGGCCTGCAGCTGACCTGGAGGAGGTGGCCAAGGCTCTGCAGCTCACTGAGCTCCAGCCACCGAGGAGCCCTGTGAGCAAACACTTAAACCTCTGCTCAACCTCACACCGTGAGTTGCCACATTGGCTTGAACAATTAATTCATTTACGTAAGAGCATGACTATGAAAACTTTTGAAGCAAGAAATGTGTCTTACTCTTTGCCTTGTAAAGCCCTGGTCTCATCATTAATGTGTAGCATTTAGTCACAATATTGTCCAATGTAATCATATTCCTCAGGGCATTTTTGATGAAATGAATTTTTCCAAATACAACAATCTCTTTCCTCAACAAAATATCTTTGCAGCTTCTTGTAGATGAGTACTACAATAACAGCTCTATAGCACTCCTCGTATGGATAATAACTCCCTACTGTGTCGCACTGGAAAAATTAAAGCCATTATCAAGGCACACAATTGTGGGGCAGACTTTGAAAGCAGCATTTTTACCTTTTCCTTTTCTTAGCAAAGCTGAGGATTTTATTTTCAGAACTGGTGACAAGACTGTATCCTGGTTGAGTCTCTGGGCAGAGTGGATTTGGTATGTCACCCAGATATCACAAAAATGCTGAGCAGAAGCGTTCAGAGAAAGTTCTGATTGGTGCCCTGTGCTATATAACACATACAGCCCTTTCCCTTCATGCCTTATTGCTTATCACTGGAGAGCAGTCAGCTCTCTTTGGGGGACAACACAGGCAGCGCACAGAGCTGCTTGTCTCAGTAATGCTGTGCAATCTCCCATAATCTTGTTGTCTTGTTATTGTGATGGTGTTTGAGCTATGCAAGGTGCCTAACGGTGCAGAGAGAATAGGAAGAAAGAATTTTCTTCAGTAGCAAGCAAAGTAACATCACTAACAAAGAACATACTGTGGGGAAAAATACTCCTTAGGCATTCAGATTTATTTTGGCTGGTCCTTGAATGCCACTCACAACACGAAAAGTATACTTAAACTCCTACTTGTTCGCACTTATTTAGCACTTATTCTGATAATCTCTTTGCTTACTAAGGGGGCTACCATTTATCACTCAGGTGACACAAACTGCCTCTTATTATCAGAGGGAATAACTCCGAGTAAAGCTTGCAGCTGCCAAGTGGCTGCACACATTTTAAACAAGTCCTGAGGCATCAGCCTAAAGGTTGTTGTTAACCCCACCTGCATCTTATTTCAGGAAAACCACACATCACAGACTTTCCTTAGTCTCCTTGGAAAATGTCTAGGAAAATGTTATGGCCCTGACTTCAAAGTGGATCTCAATCCAGTACACACTGAATTGCAAGTAACTGCTGATATTACTCCATAAATTGAGAGAGTGAACATTTGAGCTACAATATTTACAGAACATAAGTAACCCAATTGCATACTGTAAATAAAAGACCTATCTAGCCGTGCACTTCCATAGGGTTTGCTGTGATGACTCTGTTACTGACTGTACTACACTCTGAAAACGCAAATCATTAGGATTCCAGTTTAAAATCTCAAGAATTTCTTAAGTATATATTTTTAAACATTTAATCTAATATGCAGAAATTGTGCCTTTCCTCACTTTTTCCTGTAAGTTGTGAAAATTACACAGAAAAATGATGTCCCAATCACTTTGCTCAAGGAAATTCTAGCTAAGATTGACATGCAAAAAAAGATACTAATATCATGCACATTTTAGTTCGAATTGTATCCTGCAAAGATCAAAGCTATTTTTGGTGCAAAGAGATTATGAGCTTCACAAGTTTTTAGCGTTCATTTGTAAGATAGAAAAAAAGTATCCAGGGCCCTTAAATCACAAGAGTATGCTAAATGCAAAGACTTAACTCTGCGATGGCAAACATATCAAAGGAGGTTGTTTTTGAAAAGGAAATGATCAGACTAGCATGTCCCTGCTGAAAGGCTACGGTTCTTTTTTAGGCTTCTAGCAGCTTCAACCCCAGCTCTTTCAAATTAAATCTGGAAAACGAGTTCTGAAAAAGTCAGCAATGCCACACTTCAGCAAGCACTTTTCAGTGGACTTTTCCATCTTATTCAACCCAATCTCCTCCCAGAAAAGCAAGCGTTTGGTTTAATCGCACTTATTTAGCACTTATTCTGATACTTCTGGGGACGGAAGTTGTTGAGATACTGAAATAAGTAAAGGCCCAGAATGGCTAACTGTATAGAACAGCCAGCAAATACAGAACACCAACCTTCACAATTATTCTTGATAGTATTAGTTGCATAATTATACTGTGCATTTGTGATGCTGGAATGAGTGACATAGGCTTAGAAAATTACAGGAGAGTCAATGTTTGTGGTTAATACGATCCAAATAAAAAATGATGGAATAACAGGCTAGTCCTATAATCCATAGGATTTTGTCTACATGCTCTCATCATAAGCGTTTACTTCCAATATACCAAAGTAGAAAATGTTTCTTCCAGTTTTCTTAGATGGGGGAGATGTACAGTCAGACACACACTGCAGCATTCAACAGGACACTGTACAAGGCATTTTGGCCTGAGGAATCTGAGGAATCTGTTGCAATTATTTGAATGTTCTGATTGGCTCAACACTAAATTGGTCATTTCTTCAGAAATGGCTTCTAATCAATCAATACAATGTTTGACTTTTAAAAAATAATTTTCCTGGGTTCTTTATACAGGAAGGTTATTTATTCCATATTCTTTGTGCAGACTGCCAGATAAGCATGATGTGTGACACCAGAGGTAGGTCCTTTCAGCAATGATAAATTTATAATGGCTTACAAGAGTTTTGACTGCTATTGAAGTTCCCTAATTAATTCTTACATAGAGTTCCATTAGCAACAAAATTTATATTTTGAGCTAAAATGAAGCTCAGAGGTGTTACCGAACATTCTGTTCCGTTTTGTAGAACTTGTGTTTAATGCTACGTGTTGTTAATCTCTTTGCTTACTAGGGGGGCTACCATTTATCACTCAGGTGACGAATATATAAGTAAACAGAAAGTTTGCAAATGAAAAGTGACTCTCTGCATTATGGCCTGATCCAAACTGCACTGAAATCGGTGACTTCCCATTGACACCAACAGAGGTGGTATCAGGCTGTGGGTACCTACTCCTGCTTGTCTAGCTCTAAGCATTAGCTCTGGGATCAGGCTCAAACACAGAGAAGGAGGTGGTGGGAGGCCGGAAAGGATTGGAGAAGGCTGGCAATTTCTTGATCAGTTTGGGGATTTTCCTCCTTGTTTTTAATGACTAGATTTAAACTGTGATCTGGAAGGGCTCTTCCAGAACATTGTACAGATAAAACCGGTACTAACCAGTACCAGTGACCAACACTGATTTCCTTGCAAAGAGTACAAGGAACGAGAAATAAAGTGATGACACAACCCCTGCATACCCATCCAGAGTCCAACTGTCTGCAGCTAGGCCTCCTTGAGCCAGAAATGATCCCTTTAATGGAACAAAAATTAACAGGGAGTTGTTAAAATATGATTAGTTCAATCTATTTTGGAAAGCACATAAAATTTTAGCGTAGAAATGGGGCATGGCAAGAAGCATAATCTCAAAAGGTTTAAGAGCAGTAATGTAAACAGCTGAAATCTCAAAAATATTGTTAAATGACCTCTAATACTAAATTTAAATGTCCACTTCGCATCCAAGTTTTTTTTTTTTTTAAATACAGCAATTAGAGGACTGAAGCAATGACCAGATAAAGATGAAATCCAGCGGAATGCCAAGTTTCATATAAGACCAAGATGTAAATATCAAGATAACATCCTTTTTATAGTATTTTATCCTCATTGCCCATGCTATTCTGTCTGCTTGACCCAGCCTACAAAATCTGCTCAAAATATCCATATGCATTTACATATAAGAAGTAAAAGAAGAACTAATAACGGAAAATCAAAACTTGCAGGTGGTATAGCCATTTCTCAAGCTGCAGCCTAGGTTTCTGGGTTTGAATTCTTTTTTTTTTTTTTCCTGGCTTTCAAAGACATTGAGGTCAGCTCCAAACTTTTTTCCTTCCTATGCAAAAGAACAGTAGAATTAATGAACTTAGATTTCCTGTAGGGTTTGCTCTGTATCAGTTTACTTTGCCCTTTCTGCACCAAAATAATTGCAGTTCCCTGGCTGTTATGGCATCCTCTAATACTTCTAGTTGCACCATGTTCCCCCTCCACCACCTCCACCCCTCCACTGACCCTAACTACAAGCAGGGCACGTTCTGCATGTCCTATTGATGGTTCCAAGCTACACACATATGCTGACTCCAAAACATTTGAAATATTGCAAGACATTAAAAAGAAGAGGTTTTGCACCCAAGAAGCTGTAATTTACAGATAGAAAATACAGAGCGAGGAGGTAAAGGAAGAAATGGGAGTCTTCAGCATGAGAGAGGTAACGACAAGAATTGTTGGATACCTAGTTTTGGCGGGGGTGTTATTTATCCCCACTTTGTCCTTCAACAAAGAACTAAATTCCACCACTTCTTCTCATTTTCCATCAGGCTTCCCACTGAAATGAAAAGAAGCAGGTGAAATGTTTGGCAGGTGAAAATCTGGATCCCATGAAGTCAACTTCGGGTGTCAGCATCATCTCTGCCATGCCCTAGCATGTTACCGCAAGATGAACTGGAGGGGTACGTTTTGGGGGGAGGGAGGAGGGGTGGGCATGCATCCATGCACGTTACCTACCAAACCAGTGAGATGCCAGAAGCCATGCTGCCCAGCACTCTGCTCCTCGTGCCTGCTCTTCCCTCAAAAGCTATTTTGATAGGGAGCATCAGGACACTCTTGTTCCTATCCTGTTTCTGTACTATGCTGTACGAAGTGTGAATGCTCTTATCAGAGCCTGCACAAGACTTGTCATCCCTAATCTTCCTTGGGCAATTAATCTAGAAACCTATTTCTGCAAAAGTACTAACAAAGTCCCCAAAGCAGTGGTACCTCTCATAGCGTTAGGGAGTATCTGACTATCCTCGCTGCATGCCAAGTCCTGAGCACAGGCAGTGCAAGAGCAGCGTTTCTGCCAAAACAGGGAACGCGACTCTAGCAGCTCTGCTGTGGCTCCCACCCCTTGGTGCTTAAATCAGGTTTCAGGACTCTCCAAGCTTCAGGCCTGCTCAGACCAGGCCTGCAGGGAAGGAGACGTTTCATGGACTGCCATGGTAGGTGGGCGGGAGGGGTGCACCGCTGGGCCAGACGCTGCTCTCTCACACACAACATGTTTCCAGGCTGACAAGGAAGTCCAGTTTTAGGTGGCCCTGGAGAGGAAGCTTTCTAGTTTGCTTTCTCTGACACCCACACCCTACCCAAGGCTCTCTTTATACCTCATCTGCCCAGTGGAGCCCCCTACTGCAAAGGGGACACCATGTTTAATAAATCTGTTCAAGATTGATTCACTAGTAGTGGTTATGATGGAAGAAGCCCAAGATAAACTGACCTGACATCTAGCTGCAGAGCTCCTCCACTGACTGTTGCGTGTCCTTGAGCAAGTTACTTCAGGTTTGCCCTTTGCTTTCCTTGTGCCACAAAATTAGAACATCACTTTGTGACTTAAACTGAGATCTCTAGATGGAAAACATTTTATAGGCAAGAACAGTATTATGCAGACACATTCCTTTACCTGCCATTATTCATTTATAAACTGAAATGCATTTGCTGTTAACTGGCTTTCTTTAAATTGAGATTGTCCCATTAGCTTTCCTGCCTGCTCAAGACTCATTGATAGCATTTATAATACAAGCGCAATTTGAAGATTTGTCTCATCTTGTTAAGTTGCTTGGAAAATGGGAGCAGAGGAGATGAGATTAATTGAATGGTTAAAATGACGGGGGGAAAGGGGCTTGCTTCTGCAGTGCAAGAGATATAACAGGCATGTGCAACCAACAGATAAAAATAGCATAACTATTTCAAATTCTGCTTTCTGTAACAAAGCAGTTACATCGTTTGTAAAATATAAGCTCACATTAGTCCTCCTTACAACTCCTAATACTTTTCCATGACAAGAATGTCAAAAATATAGCCCATGAGCCAGACTGATCCTTCCAAGTACTTTAATCTGGCCTGCAAAGTCCGTGGAGGACTGTAATCCGGCTCCAGCCTGCCAATCAGTGCAGAAGGCCCTGAGCTGTTCATGCTCTCCGGGTGCCTCCCCGTAGGCTGCCAGGTTCCCACGGGGCCGCTGCCCTGCGTCACGCAGCAGCCCAGTCCCCTTGCCCCCGCCGCTTCACTGTGGGACACTGACAAGCAAAGCATCACAAAAAAGAAAATTCCAGTGCTTTAACAAAACTACTTGATTGATATGAATTACACAGCTCTGATTAAGTGCCATGCCGCATGAACAAACATCTACCAGCAAAAGCTGGGCTGTGAAATAGCATAATCACTACAGGAATGAGGACTTTCACCCTTGGAAGGGTGTCACCACACAATGTTAATTGCCCCTGGTACTTCTCTAAGTTAGCGACTACTAATAGATTCCTGCTGAAGACAGTCACATTGGAAGAGCTCTGAAAGGACTCCTTAGGCCAGCTGCTACTTAAGGGACAGGAGTCCCCTATCAGGCACCCAGTGTGGCATCTCATACCAGGTCTCAGCGCACCTGGGGCCACGGTGCTGCTCAAGGGGCAGTGCTGCCCTCCCTCTGCTCCTGCACAGAAAGAACTTCACAGCTTCCCACCCTTCTTCTGTATGGGCCTTAGCAACCACTGATTTACCCAAAAATGAGCCCAAGGAAAGCAGAGATCTGCTTCCAGTCAGATCAGTTTTAAACCAGCAAGCTGACCGGACCTGGTGCAGAGCACCCTGGTCAGAAGAGCAACGCAAACAAGGGAATAGGAAACACAGTTAGGGTAGAGCTGGACAGGGCTATCCCCTTCCACAGCAGCACGCACTTAAATCAGCTCAAAGTGGCTAACCACACTCAAAGGTAGCGGCTGGAGGTGGACAGAGTACCTACCTCTCCCCAGGGTAACAAAGCACTGGTGGAAGCAAGACTCGAACCCATCGTTGTATTGAAGGGCTAGCTTCAGTGCACATGTGGTTAAATACAACAGAAAGTTTCTGGATCTAGCAATGCCACATTTTACTTCCCCAAGTATTTAAGCAACATTACTCAACTTTTTTTTTTTTTAAACTTACATTTAGAGAATTTAAAGCTAGGACTGAAAAGTAAAGCAGAAGTGAAGTCATCTGCCTTTATCAGCCCTTGATTTCATAAAATACGTCAGAGAGAGAGTGGGTTATAAGTAACAATAGGTCTTTTTTTCCAAGAGGTCTCAGGAGACATCATTTGGAGGTGGTTAAAAGAAATAAAATAGGTTGGCTCTCCATGGGCAAAGTAGGAAAAGTAGGTTTTCATGTGGGGGTGCTGCAAAAAGAACAAAGGCAGAATATCTGCTGAATCACCACAGTCTATCCACCACACTCAAACAGCTTTAATTCTCCTGAATTTGCAGTACCCAGCAATCAAGCAATAGTGCTGCTGAGAGGCATTTTAACCAACGCTATAATGATCAAACAAAAGCAACTCCACTGCAGACTAGTTCTATTGGATGACATCTACTGCTGTCATTCAGCCCCAAATAAATTTGTTGCCATGCAATAATAAGGGAGGCACGAATCTGCTGAGAGCCAACACAGGGGTCTTTCTGCTGATGGAGTCGAATGATTAATTCCATGATAATCACTGTGGGAATTCACTTGAGAAATATATCAATTAAGGCAAAATTCCCTTGTCAGCATTTTCAAGAAGATAAAAAATGAATTCAAATAACCAGTGAGGTCAAGAAAGCAACTACAACGGGGAAAGAAGAAAACAGAGGAAAGAAGGCAATTAAATGTAGAGAGCTATGATTACTCAGTAGGCAAAGCTTGGGGCAGCGCTCACGTGATGCTCCCTGCAAAGCAGCAATGGTTCCCAAGTCTCCACTCAGCTGTACAAACTGAATTCTTCTTCCCACAGGCTTTACAACTGGTACCAGAACCAAGAGTGGCAAAAACTTCCAGTTTGCTTTATTAATCTTCAAGATTAGCAGGACTCTTTGTATTACAGTATTTAAAGACATATATTTCTCCTTCTCACTTTAGAAGGAGAAGGATCAAGGATATTTTGGTTTTCTTTTTTGTTTGCTTGCTTTAAAAGGATTGGATTGGTGATTAACGATTGTTATTATCCTACAGAAAAGAGAGGAGAAAGTCTCACATGTGCCATGAACAACCACGCATATAACAAAGCCTAACATCCTTGGGGAGAATCACTGCTAATTCATTGCTTCTAACATAGGGCTTGATCTTGCGAGGTGACAGCTGACTTTAACTGCCATTGACTTCAGGGCTTACAGGTTTACACTCGGCACCAAACAAGATCAAGATCTTAATTACCAAATAGAAATAACACAAGTAATGAACTGTTTGCAGTAATTTTATACGAGACTCTCACTCTTAGACATTACTTTGTTTGCCTCTGTGGGAGTGTCAGACAGTGTCAGACACTTGCCCCCACCCTGACTTTGTCATTAGACATAAGACACATCTATTCTTAACTTTGCACTGTCTTTCATGGGTGCCACCATCACCTGCGTTCAGCCATGTCCACATGGAAATGCAGTTGCTAATGCCTCGGTTTCCCACACTGGGGTTGGGACCTGAGACCAGATGTGCAAGCACATGGGGGCTGACTTTAACCAACTGCCTCGGATAACAACAGCAGGATGTTCAGGACTTAAATACGAATTCATTCTTCCAGCTTTAAACATCTAACCAGAATGCCTAATTTAGGAGAACAGTCATCTTGTACTCCCTCAATAGTAAATGCAAATAGGCAGACACCTCCAGAAAATTAGCAGATTGGAGACTGAGTCATACTCTGGAGGTGTTTGTCTCTCTCTAGTGACATGAGGAAACTAAGAGTTTCGTCCTAAACAGGGCCCACAGTTACGACCTCAGTCAGACCTCCAGGAGAGCAGAGTGCACATGTGCTGCGCCACGCCAGATCCAGGTGAACCATCTGGCACCCGGGACATGCCGAATCTGTCATCAGCATTTAACTGCTCTTGGTATCCGAGCTGTAATACTAGGCCTGCCTGGGACTTATCCACATCTGGTGTCCCAATCGGGGATACATTTTCAAAAGCACAAATGGCTATAGCCATATTTTCATCACGGTCCCACAATGGGATTGCAGAGGCAACAATTAAGCTGACTGCAAAACCAGAAAATTGCTTCGTGAGAAATTCTTAATTATTTTTATTTCCTACCTTCAGCTATTCTCATATTTATTTTCTGAGTATTTGAGCTGCCTGTTCTACGCTATAGGGCAAAAATTATTGCATGTGGGAAATCAAACGGCTTTGGGCTGTCTAAGCCTCCCTTGATAAGGAAATATAACTTTATCTTCAGGTACCAATTCCAGACACAGAGGCTAGTGTTTACTGTTCTGTTGCGTTTGAGACATCACTTGATGAACCTTCTTTTTCAGTTCTCCACAGGGAAGTTTCCACAGGAGTTGGACACAACCCAAACAAAACCTCTAAACAATCGACCTCCATCTCCACTCACAGACGCTGCTGCTGAGGGATTCTCGCGTCACGATTTCTGGGGATTTTGACAATGATAACGTCACCATATTTGCTTGAGC